GAGACGGACCCCTAATCTTGGGCTAGTAGAAATTCGACAATCATTCGTCATACCAGGAGACAATGTCTATATTGTGGCTCAACATGCCACGCAAGTTTATTATCTCTCATACCCGTGCCAAACCGACGACCATCTTAAGGGTTGGGATGTTGTGTACAAGGTATTGCCACACGGTAAACTACCTGTACCAAACAATGAAGATTACACCATAGACCTCAACACATATGACGGAGAGTTCTTCCAAGAAGATGGGCTCGAAGGGAGTTTTGAGATAGACTAAACCGAAGCGATCGGAATGGAAGTAGATAATGAAAGGGTTGCTAACGAGGACACTGGAGACAAGGTTCAGAATGTGAAGGACTTAGAATTACTTCAGCGATTACGTTTAGGCAATGACAGTGATGACGACATTCCCGATCATGATGATTATAGCGACACGCGTGATAGTGATGATGAGACTTATGATCCAGCTAATCCCGATCATGATGATTATTTCTAATACATGTATGAGCCGTACTAATTTATTTATTATTTGTCATACCATGTTATTTTTGAAGTATGTTTAGTGTATTTTGCATATCTTTCTAAGTATGTTTTGTTTATCTGTGCTGATTGGTTTACTCTTTTTAATTGCAGGTGATTGAACAATGGTGGGCGGTATGAGGAAGATCGCGGCGCTTTACGGAAAGATCACAGCTTCAAGGTCAGCTTTAGGGTTAGCTTCAGGGAAAGGTCAAGGGAGGGGTCGAGGTAGGGGTGGAGGGAAGGGTAAAGGGAGGGGTAAAGGGAAGGATAAAGGGGTGAGGCCCCCGTCGCCTGTAACTCCCTCGTCGTCGTCTAAGGAGGAGGAGGTACCTTCCGCGCACGCCTCTGGTGATGAGGAGGAGGTACAGGAGGAGCAGGAGGAGGCAGTTGGTTCCCAGGTTGCGAGGTCCCTCGACCCTCCCGAGGCAACCGATACCTCTTGAGAGACACCCGATGATTCGACCCTCTGGGAAAAAGTAAGTAACTTTAGATGTTCTCGATAATTTTTCGTTTGATATGTTGAAAATTACAATAGAAACTAATAATTTATCTTAATCACTTGGGTAGGGGTTGGATTAAGGTCAGTGTGGGTGATCACAACCGCAAGGTCAACGGCATCCTTGGCCTTTTGTGCAGGCTACACTTCCCTGGCTTAGTGCAGTTCAGCGAAGAGCTGCAGCCGGCCTACACGTGGGACCACTACGTCGCCGCCCGCGACGCCGCTGATCGTGAAGGCAGGGTATTCCCCAACAAGGCGGAGCGGGTGAAGGGCGAGCTGTGGGTAAGTATTCCTCGCACTACATTGCTCAATACATCACATTCACTAGACATTCTTGAAGTAATGATTATATACATCGCGTCTATATGCAGGACTTCTACAGATGCCAGGAGGGGTATGAGGCCAAGGTGGCCTCCATCTCTGAAGAAGCCGCCAAGAAGCTCATGAAGGACATACACTACGAGGCGTGCGTCCAGGCCATCATCGACTACTATGCTCAACAAAGAGGGATGAAGGTTAAAAAAGAAGAGGCAAGAACAATGAACCTGACCCAGAAACAATTCTTGAAGGTAAATATAGAACATTAATACTTACTTTTTATGAGATTAATTACGCTTAATTTTATTTTTTCATATGTCATACACTTGATGACGTAGGTGCCTCCGTACTGGTGCGCCCAGCATACCCAGTGCTGGGAATACATGGTGGACAAGTGGTTGGAGCCCAGGTGGGTGGAGACGCACAACGCTTGCCGGGACCGGCGTTTGCTGTTGCCACGTGCATCACACCATCAAGGCAGCCTGAGCCTTGACGAATACAGGGAAAATAGGTACGCGAATTCATTTCTTTATTCTAACGCTCCATTCTACATAATTTCTAATCATTTTGCATTTTTGCCGCAGTTGTCATCACATGATGGCCAGCCTTGCTCCTAGTTCAAGGCATGGGTTCTGTCCAAAAAGGGCAACGCGACCGCAAACATCGACTTCAACCCGGAGGACCCGCCCGAGGCGTACAACGATCCCAGCATCCACAGCTGCGTCAGTGAGTACACAACGATGGCAAGGCAGGTTCATGGGCCACAGTTCAATTCGAGCACCCAGGATCTTGATGGAGAAATCGTGATGAAGGTGGGAGGAGGCAAGAAGCATGTCCGGTATTAGATTGGCGACAGTACAATCGACACGCCTCTACTCCCACTCTCTCCTAGATCCGAGCAAGGAGCACGAGCTCGAGCCCGGCGATACGCCCACGGCCAACCACTACACAGTTTCAGTTGGAGGCTCTCCAGGTTATTTCTGTTTTATTCATCGTTCGTTGATTGTTACGTACTTTAACTTTGCATTGTAACATTGGGATGAAATGTTATAGGCCTAGGTGGAAGCAGAAACAAAGCAACGGGAGGAGATGGAGGCGAGGATGGAGGAGATGATTCAGCAGAGGATAGAGGCCGAGTGGCAGAGGATGGAGGAAGAAAATCGGTTGAGGATGGACCAAATGTTCCAATACATGCAGAATTTTGCATCGAGTATGGGTCAACCTTTGCCACCGCCACCGATGCTATTTCCTCCACCTCAGCCACCCACAACTACTCCTGTGAGTCACTTGACATGTGAGTCACTTGACATCTTATACTGCAGATTAAATACTTTGACTTAGAGAACTTTAGATGTTAGGGGAAAAAGATTAGGAGAGACACTAGATGAAGCCTTCTGCTACTACTAATGTTATTGGCAGACTGAAAAAATGTAAATTAAACACGTAGGTCCATAATTATTTAACTGTGTAGCGTGTTAATTTAGTGCTCCCTGTTGATGCGACACATCTGAGAGCCTATTTGGTTTTTATCTGCAGTTTTTTGCTTTTCGCTTAGAAGCTGACTTTCTATATTTTGACTTTTTTGATCTGCGGTTAGAAATTAAGCTAATTAATGAAATTCCCCGCAGTCATACCAAACCTTATTACAAATATATACGGTTCTGTCACTGGCAGCTAAGGGTAGCTGATGGTCCATGACTATGTACGTGACAGCAAATCGCTTTCAGAGATAGTGCAGTGAATCAATGTCATAGCAGCCTATTTTGGTTGAAAGCAACGTTAGAGCTACTTACAGAATGAAGATAGCAAGCCATGGCTACCTCCTGCAACTTTTATTTTGTTTTTGAACATAACTTGCGAATTTCTTGCTCCATTCTGTCAAGTAATTTAAAAGATTATTATCAACAAGAACATCAGAAATAGTCTAAATACTGTTGTCTTGACCACCTACGCGTGGACGACTGTCCTTTGTCAGTCTAGTGGACAAATGGACAAAACTGGTTTTGAATACACAGTTAGCAAAAATAATTGGCCAGCAGCTAGTTGTCTTTGTTTGATAGTGAAACAAAGCTGCCAAGTTAAAACATGTTTCACATTCTGTTTATAGCTTTTATATTTATAGTTGACCCGGACACTAGATGAAGCTAAAGTATGGGTCAAATTGAATCTATTATCATGTTGAATTTAACATAAAATATATATGTTTTATTGTCATTAAACATTGCTAGAGTTGTTAGTACTAACCTATATATCATTTTCCTGCAACTTAAAAAGGAAGCTAACACTGTTTCGAATACTTCTCTTTTGCGCAGAATCAATCGGCGGCATCAAATAATCAGTCTCAAGACCCGGATTTGTCGCAGTGGTTCCAAGGGCCTCCGCAGTGATTGCATTTGCATTTGTGGCTTATTGTGACTTAGTTGTGACTTATGATGATGGTTTATTATGAATTGTGATGATGGTTTATTGTGAATTGTGAAGATGGTTTATTGTGAATTATGATGATGGTTTATTATGCCTATGACATATAATTATGCCTGTGATGATGGTTTGTTGTGAATTGTGATGGTTTATTGTGAATTAAGAGAGGTCCGTTATACGTGACAGATTAGTAAAAAAAAAAGGGGGTCTTAGTCGCTAACACTCGGCGAAGAGCGGAGTTGCCAAGTATCAAGGCAAAACACTCGGCGAAGAGGCCAATCTCTGTTATTCTAGGAACCTTCTTTGCCGAGTGTTTTGGTTTTGCCGAGTGTATTCTAATGGACACTCGGCAAAGTGACCATAAAATCTGGTCGTTGAGCAAGTGTTTGCCGAGTGTTTTGGGCGTGACACTCGGCAAAGTGTCTAAACTTTACCGAGTGTTTTGGGTTGGATACTCGGCAAACTTTAGAAACTTTGCCGAGTGTTTTGGGCTTGACACTCGGCAAAGTTGAGAAAAGTTGAGAAATTTTGCCGAGTGCTTTTCCGTCGTGCACTTGGCAAAAGCGCCGTCACCGTGCCATCCCGTTAACTTTTTTTCCCGAGATTTTAGTTTTGCCGAGTATTTATTGACATGCACTCGGCAAACTATTTACTGAGTGCGCGATAAAAAAACTCTCGGCAAATAGTTATTTGCCGATACTGTAGATGTCGTGTTCTCTATGCCGAGTGTTACACTCGGCAAAGCCTTTGTCGAGTGTTTTTAAGTCTGGCACTCAGCAAAGCTACTGTATCCCATAGTGCACGACGTCCACGTACGGGCGGGGTCCGCAGGGAGAGACACCGAGGTCTCGTTGTCGATGTACGTAGTCGTACCTTGCCATAATGCCATGGCGATCGAGAGCGACATAGCGCCAATTAGCGAGCTCAAGGTGTTCCTCGATCGGTTACAGGCACACGGCAAACCGCATCAACGTCGACTGGTGAAGGAAGTGGAGATTTCGATGCTACCCCTGTACTAGGTTGTAATTTGTACCGACACCTAAGCCGCACGTCACATCCATCGGCAATTCGGCATACATGACTCCACAAATTCGGTAGTCTGCTGCACTCCAAATTAACACAACTCTCCGTCCCCTTTGGCCTTTTTTTAGCTACAACGAGAGCTTGCCTGGCCCGGCGACGGGCGTACTGCTATCGAGCTGATTGGTTGTCACAGATACTCATCCACCACCTCGCCATGGATGCCAAGTCGCCAAAAGTGCTGCCGCCGCTGCGCATCGTGATCTGCCCGTGGCTCGCGTTCGGCCACATGCTCCCGTACCTGGAGCTCGCAGAGCGCCTGGCGTCGCGTGGCCACCGCGTGTCCTACGTCTCCACGCCCAGGAACCTCGCGCGCCTGCCGCCGCGGCGCCACGCCGTGGACCTCGTGGCGCTCCAGCTCCCGAGGGTGGAGGGCCTCCCCGAGGGCGCCGAGTCCACCAACGACGTCCCCGGCGACAGGCTCAAGCCGCTCTGGGAGGCCTTCGACGGCCTCGCCGCGCCGTTGACGAAGTTCCTGAGCGCTGCGTGCGCCGGTGACGAGGTGAGCCGGCCGGACTGGATCTTGGTCGACACGTTCCACCACTGGGCACCCGCCGTCGCCGCGGCGCACAGGGTGCCGTGCGCGATGCTCCAGCCCAGCGCGGCCACGATAGCGGCGTGGGCGTTCGGGGCGCGGGACCGCGCGGAGCTCGGCGCGGCCTCCATATTCGAGCAGCTCACCACCGTGGAGGAGCCACCGGCGGGCATGCCGCGCTACGAGTGGGATGGGGACGCGGCGTTGTTCACACCTGTCGGCACGTCAGGTATGTAGATCGCCCGGCGCATCACCTTGACACTGGAGGGGTGCGCGATCACCGCCATGCGGAGCTGCCCCGAGTGGGAGCTCCACGCCTTCTCGCATGCCGCCGCGCTCCTCGGCAAAACACTCGTCCCCCTCGGCCTCCTGCCACCGTCGCCGGACGGAGGCCGCGGCGCCGGCATGAACAGAGACGACGCCACCGTGCGCTGGCTGGATGCGCAGCCACCCAAGTCGGTCGTGTACGTCGCGCTGGGCAGCGAGGTGCCGCTGCGCGTGGAGCTGGTCCACGATCGAGCTGGCTCATGGGCTCGAGCTCGCCGGGACACGATTCCTCTGGGCGCTGAGGAAGCCTAGGGGCGTTCCCAATGCTGACGTCCTCCCTCCGGGTTTCCAAGAGCGTACCCACGGCCATGCCCATGCCATGGTGACCACGAGCTGGGTGCCGCAGAATACCATACTGGCGCATGGCGCCGTCAGCGCGTTCTTGACGCACTGTGGACGGAACTCGCTCACCGAAGGGCTTCTGTATGGGCACCCTCTGATCATGCTGCCGATCTTCGCCGACCAAGGTCCGAATGCGCGTCTCATGATGGGGAGGAAGGTAGGGTTGCAGGTGCCAAGGAATGAAGACGATGGGTCTTTCAACCGCCAGGGGATTTCCGACACAGTACGGGCCGTGATGGTTGAAGAAGATACCAGGAGGGTCTTTCTAGCAAACGCCATGAAGTTGCAAGAAGTTGTAGCCAATAAGGAGCTCCAGGAGAGGTACATCGATGAATTTGTGCAGCGACTTAGATCTTACACCCCCAGCTGAGACTTTGTTTTTTTTTTTTGGAGGGTTTTGAAATCCTGCTGGTGGTTGTTGCATTGGCTTGTTGCGCATAAACTATGGATGGAAAGATCATTGTCTATCCAATAAGAAATTGCATTATTGTTAGTGTTGGTTGCATCAAAGAGCTGTACATCACGTGTACACATCAGGAATTATTGTGCATCACGTGATAGCCTTCATCTTCTCAATCTTAATAATCTTTTTTTTAAGAGATCTTAATAATCTTTGTTGGAGAAGTGAAAAAGGAAAATCCCATTTGTCAACATGGCGAGATGAACTCTAATTGCAGGTATAGATTCAGGGGCGGAGTCACGATTTAGATATAGGAGGCCGGTACTTCCGTCGACAAAAAGTTTTAATATCAATATCAGACACTGATGTCTACGTCAAAAAATATATTAATCTTGATATTGGCTTAAAAACTATAAATCATCTTTAATCTTTTTCTGTTCTTTCTTCATCTCAGACAAGCGCTAATTGTCTAAATTAAAGATAAAAATACATATTGTTCATAAAACTAATGGTTTGCATCATCTTAATTTTATCTGGCTATAAAAAATTATACAATCAGGAGAACATCTCCAAGAGTATCTATTAATCCTTCCCAATCCATGATTTTTGGGAAGAAAGAAAAAAAATCCATCTCTAACAACCGCCAAACACACCTCCCAATCTTTTGGCACTTCGAAAAAAACCACCCTTTACGCGTAAAGATGGGCGGACTCCTGGTTACGTGTATTTTCTCCCACGCCCGTATAGTTCGTCCAATCTAAAGGTGGAAGGGTGGAGAAAAAATAAAGAGTAGAAAAAGGGTTCCTAATGCAAATGTACGAAAGAGAAAAATATATATATAAGTGGTTAGGATAATTTAGATATAGTACATGATTCCTGACGTAAAATTTTCTTCTATATTTTAGGAGTGAGTCATTGGAAACTGTTAGAGATGATCTTATTTATTTCTCCCAGTATTTTTGGCGAGTAAGAAAACTCCACGGTTTTGGAAAGAAATTCTTGGGAACTCTTAGAGATGCTTAAGAAAAACATAATAAGGACTATATATATATATATCAGTTTCTCATGAACAATACCATGCACGGACAAGACTTATATGGAATTACTCCAATTTCCAATTTAAGAGGCCTGAACCTATCTAAAACCATATGTGGACGACATGTCCTTATTTGTGTACATCCTACATCGATCGAGATTCATTTGCACTTCTAGCTAGATTAAGATTCCGAGACGAAGATGAGAGATTATCACATGATGATGCACAATAACTCCTCTGATGCGTTCACGTGATGTACAGCTACTACTTGCAACAGACACTAAATAACACTGCGATACAATGAACTTCCCATCTAGCGTATGCGGAACAACCACCAACAGAGTTCAAAAAACTCCAAAACTAAGTCTCAGCTGGGGGTGTAAGATCTAAGTTGCTGCACAAATCCATCAATGTACTTCTCGTGGAGCTCCTTATCAGCTACAACCTCTTGCAACTTCATGGCGTTTTTGACAAGCACACTCCTAGTATCTTCTTCAACCATGACGGCGCGGACTGCGTTTGCCATGCCCTCGCGGTTGAAAGACCCATCGTCTTCGTCCCTGGGCACCTGCAACCCTACCTTCCTCCCCGCCATGAGCCGCGCGTTCGGACCTTGGTCGCCGGAGATGGGTAGCATGATGAGAGGGTGCCCATACAGAAGCCCTTCAATAAGGGAGCTCCGTCCACAGTGCGTCAAGAACGCGCCGACGGCACCATGTGCCAAGACGGTGTTCTGAGAGACCCACCCCATGGTCACCAGCCCATGTCCACGGGTGCGCTCTTGGAATCCAGGAGGCAGGACGTCCATGTCGTCGGGGACGCCCCTGGGTGGCCGCAGCGCCCAGAGGAATCGTGCTTCGGCCATCTCCAGCCCATGAGCCATCTCGTGCACCTGATCCACGCGCAGCGGCACCTCGCTCCCGAGCGCGACGTACACGACCGACTTGGGTGGCTGCGCGTCCAGCCACTGCACAGTGGCGTCGTCTCTGTTCATGCCGGCGCCACGCCCTCCGTCCGGCGACGGCGGTAGGAGGCCAAGGGGGACGAGTGGCTTGCCGAGGAGCGCGGCGGCATGCGAGAAGGCGTGGAGCTCCCACTCGGGGCAGCTCCGCATGGCCGTGATCGTGCACCTCTGGAGCGTCAAGGTGATGCGCCGGGCGACCGACATACCTGTCCTCTCATGGGGGGTGAACAGACCCGCCGCGTTCCTTTTCCACTCGTACCGCGGCATGCCCGCCGGTGGCTCTTCTACGGCTACAGTGGCCGGCTGCTCGAATATGGAGTCAGCGGCGAGCTCTGCGTGCTCCCTCGCGCCGCATGCGAAGGCAGATATCACGGCCGCGGTTGAGACAAGCATCGCGCACGGCACCTTGTGCTGCAGGGCGACGGTGGCCGCCCAGTGGGTTAGCGTATCGGCGACGATCCAGTCCGGCCGGGGCCGGCGGCTCCCCTCGCCGCCGCCGGCGCAGGCGGCTCTCAGGAACTCCGCGAAGGGCGCGGCCAGGCTGTCGAACGCCTCGAAGAGCGGCTCGAGCCGGTCGCCAGGGACGTCGTTGGTGGACTCGGCGCCCTCGGGGAGGCCCTCCACGCGCGGGAGCGGCAGCGCCACCAGGTCGATGATGGTGGCGTGGCGCCGCGGCGGGAGGCGAGCGAGGTTTTTGGGCGTGGAGAGGAAGGACACGCGGTGGCCCCGTGACGCCAGGCGCTCGGCGAGCTCCAGGTACGGGAGAATGTGGCCGAACGCGAGCCATGGGCAGATCACGACGTGCAGCGGCGGCGAGGATGCGGACCTGGCGTCATCCATGGCCGGCGGGCGCGGGAAGGTGGGATGAGTGTGACCGTCGATGATTGATCAGCTGGAGGGCAGGAGCAGTTTGGTTTGTGCAGCTGCAGTTAGCCCAGCGCCCTGCTTTATTTGTCCAAGCCATGCGTGTCATGTGCACGACTAAACAAAGCCATTGATACCCCAAGCCATTTGCGTCAAACCAAGAGCAACCAAAGTCCAAAGTGGCCGGCCGGGCTGAGGAAAGAAGGAATTGAAAAATATAAGCAGCGGATGCAACGTCAAGGTACCTCGTGATGAGATCTGGCATCGTGCAATGCTGCAAGCTAGACATGGCTATCCATCCTAGACGGTCTAGGTGGAAAGATCATTGTATCGAATAAGAAATTGCAGTATTGTTTAGTGTTTGTTGCAACTAGGAGCTGTGCATCACGTGAACGCATCAGGGGAGTGGTTATTGTGCATCATGTGATAATCTTTCATCTTCGTCTCTCGGAATCTTAATCTAGAAGTGCAAATGAATCTCGATCGATGTGGGATGTACACAAAAAAGGATATGTCGTCCACATATGGTTTTAGATAGGGTCAGGCCTCTTAAATTGGAACTTAGAGTAATGCCCTATAAGTCTTGTCCTTGCATTTCATGAGGAACTGATATAGTCCTTCCATACTAAAATAAATCAATTTATTAGAAGCATAAGCAAGGTTTTAAATCTCCTGCTATAGCCTCCGCTATCTCTGGCTACAGCTGTTTGGGAAGGATTTAGCTAAGTTTTTTCATGTACAAGTTAGCCCTCAGCTGCCGCTATAGCCCGCTATAGCCAGCTATAGCCTGTTTTTGGACATAGAAAGTTAAATGGCTTAGTCGGCTATTTAAAACCTTGATCATAAGTCAAACTATCTTGCGTTTAATCAACTTTGTTGGAAAAATGATAACAACATTTACGACACCAAATAAATATATTATAAAAAAATTATTTCATTCATTTGTCCAGCGATACTAATTGATGTCATAAATATTAATCTAGAAGTTGTAGCCAATAGGGAGCTCCAGGAGAGGTACATCGATGAATTTGTGCAGCGACTTAGATCTTACAATCCCAGCTGAGACTTGGTTTTGGAGGTTTTAAATCCTGCTAGTTGTTTGTTGGCTTGTTGCCTATAAACTATGGATGGAAAGATCATTGTCTATATATCCAATAAGAAATTGCATTATAGTTAGCGTTGGTTGCATCAATGAGCTGTACATCACGTGTACACATAAGAAGGAGCTATTGTGCATCACGTGATAACCTTTCATCTTCTCAATCTTAATAATCTTTGTTGGAGAAGTGAAAAAGGAAAATCCTATGCGTCAACATAGCGAGCACTACTACACAAACAATTTTGCGTCCCTCTGCTCCTTACCTGTCTCTCGGCCATTCGCCTGAGCCGTCCGATTGACTCAGGAAGCCCGTTGGTCACTCCTGGCGGAGATCCCGTCGTTGGGCCTTTCCAAGTCCCGCCTGGGAGGCGGAGGGCCGCCTACGCGCAGTGGCGCCTCGTTTCTTGCGCCCGACGTGCGGTAGTGGTGGGCCATACCCAGGCCACGCCTGTCTGACCAGGCACCGTTCCGTCGGGCAGGGTGCGTCCCATCAGTCAGGGCGCGTCCCATCGTATCCCATCCGCATTGAATGGGGGAAGGGAGAGGG